TTGCTTCCAGCCCTAGTTGTGTCTGACTCTTGAGCATCTTTAGGAGCAAAAAAAAAAAAAAAAAAAAAAAAAAAGGAATGGAATGGGGGGAAATCATTCTATCAGCAAAATCCTATCATGTCTGCTTGGAAGTAAGTCCTACTGAGGTCAATACAGTACACTAGTGGCCAAAATTGTGGAAAACTTTTGGGGAAAGTGTATTTCCAAGGTTTGATGGCTCATAACACCTGATTGGCTCTCTAAAAAGACTCATGCTCATTAGCTACATTCAAATGAAGGAAATCTACTGCATATCAACCTAAGCAAGTTGTGCTTCCTTTTTCTGGTTATTTGGCTATAACTTTTTATAGAATACAAATAATTGAACAAACTTTGTTGCATTGCTTTCTTCATCAAATTTTCTTTCCATTGATATATAATGTCATGACATTATATATCAATTACTCCAAAAAGAAGTGGTGCTATGAGCCACCAAACCTCGGAAACACACTTTCCCCAAAAGGTTTCCACAATTTTGGCCACTAGTGTAAATAAATGTATTGAGGTCAACCCCCAATAAATGCACATTAAACTGCAGTCTTAAACAACATTCTACAAATAAAACCTTTAGTTTTTCTTCAACTTACTCTTACCGGTGTGTTCTGCCTTGAAGTTAAGAACTACTATTCCAGATTAAGTGAGCTGAGAATTGCACCCTGAATGTGAGAAATATTTCATTGCTCTTCTAGTGTGCTGACCACAGTTGGGCTGCAGGATCTATCAGGAACATTGCAATGCACACCCTGCATACTAGAGTTCTAGATAAATGATTCACTGTGACAAATTTTATCTTAATCAGAACTACAGACCTATTTTTTGAGAAGAAGCTGAGAAAGCAAGCAGTTGCAAAGGGAAGCAGACAAGAAAAGAACTGCATTTCTGGCATTTTTTACTGGCACAAACAGCAGTTCTACTCTGTCCACCTCCCACCCTTCTTTGCAGCTGCCTAAAGTGCACATACATCTGTTGTAATTCAGAGGAGGACAAGATCATCATCTGACATAGCTGTTTCATTGACACTAATATCAGCCTTGGTTTCAAGATAAATTCCACTCCTAAGTCCAGGGACTCATTTTCAACCCTTCTGTATTTATTGTTCCTCCTTATCCATCCTTATTTTTTTCTGCTCAGTGGGCAGTCAACTAAACAGAAGCAGTCCTAGCAGAACAAATCAGGATCGTGAGGGCTATAGAAACAACTGTCAGCACCTGATGAATACATTAATCTTACCAATTATTATCATCTCTGTAATGGTCTTTTTAAAGATGTATCAGTTCAAAACCATTTTGACAAACAGGGTAGTCTTCAGGTTCCCTTTTGGACACAGGTGCACAGAGCTCTACTTTCATTGTCCAATCTCATTCAGCTATTGGAGAAAGGCCAGGTTTCACATCAAATCTCCTAGCTCTTTCTGTTGGCTGAATATCAATATCCAAAAGGTTTTAGGATATGTGAGACGGGGCATAAGAATGATAAGTAACATCCTTTAGCGTGTGAAAACAGCTTGGCTATTTCCCTCCCTGGGCTACAGTGACTTTTGAAATAATTTGGTAGTATGGTATCTAAAGCTTCTTGTCTGGAAATGTATAATGTATTACGAACTTCATGGTCCTCACAATATATAGGTAGGCATCTTGCACTGGTTCCGTTCATTAAACCCATCTTGTATGGAACTAAAATTAGATGCAGTATGCAGAAATGAACATACAGATTTAGTCACTGAGAAATGTGTCTCTGTTCCTCCATTTTGGGATTTTCCCACAGAAGAAAAACCATCACTCAGGGTAGAGTACTCACTTACATACAGACATTCTTAGGATGATCCCTGGCATTTCCAGGTAAAGAACCCCATCTCTGACTGTCTTGGAAACCTGCTGTGAATCAGGACAGAAACTACGGGACAACTGATCTAAGAAGTATAAAGGCCTCTCCATGAAACAAATGTATGAAACCTACACATGTATGAAAATGTAAGAAACCCACATATAGATTGTCATGTGCAATGATTTAACATGCATATACATGCACCATAAAATAACAGCCTGCATGACATCTCCTCAGCCTATGCTGATATGTTTCCTATTTACAAAAGGGGGGAAACCCACCCTAATTAGTTGAGGAGGCTCAACTAATTGTATTATGACTTGCTGATTTCCCCCGGCTCTAGATTATACACTTATACAGTCTCAATGGTAAAGGGGTATTATGAACATTGTTTCCCAAGACAATGCTACAGCAAAGTGAGAAATCAAGTGCTTGCAGTGGTTGGCCTTACTAGATTATTCTGATATGTAAATTCTTCCTTGGCAAGTTGTGCCAAAATTCAAAGTCGACTGAGTTCAATAGAACGTATTCCCTAGATGTGTGCAGAAGACTGAAGTACTAGAAAACTAGGAAATCGTTCAAGATCTACAAAATAGAATAGTGTGGAATGCTCCCACTCAGTTGTACCCTTCTATACCATACTTGATTCCGTTCCTCCTCCAGAGTTTTCCATTCCCTCCTTCCAACTGTCCATCAGCATTCCATGGACACTGAGCGTTCTTAGTCCTTACCAGGCTGTTTTGAGGATCCTCCAATTGACCCAACTTGTGTGGGGGGTTTCCTTACATACATATTTTTTGTACTTTTGCAAACCTTGTGGCCAAGAGCAAATAAGCATTTTGGGGAGTTATCATTGCATTCAGAGAATGAGACCTCCAGGCTGCTTAGCACTTTTGAAACATCTGACATGCTTTCCAAAGTGCGATATTGGTTTCTAAGTGCCGGTGTGGTTTCAGTTTCATATACCAGAGGCAACCATTCACAGTGCATTGTTAAGTTTAACTGTCCTTTGTCACCTGGGCCGTGAGTTGTCACTTACATTGGTAGCACATCCCCACGTCCAAACAGAAGCACTGGAATGATTAACGAGTAAATGCTCTTGTAAACTGCTGTTGGCGAGGGGTTGTAAAGCAGCACAGGAGCCAGCATTTTAGATAGGGGCCAGCCTTTAACTGCATCGTTCTACACAGGACTGGGGTGTTCTTCATTTTTCTTTATCTACTGTACGTCTGTTTTCCTGCTTCTCTTGCTCAACCACTGTCTTTGCCTCCAGCTTTTCCTTATCTCTGGCCACTGTCAATGCCATCTTTCTGACTTGCCCCTTCTTCTCCCTCTCATTAAAAAAATAGCTAAAAATAAGGACAAAAATAAAATGTGGCTAGTAGACATGGTGGAGTGCATCTTATGTTGGCCATCAACATTGGAGTGCATTGGCTCCCAGTACGTTTCCGAGCACAATTCAAAGTGTTGGTGCTGACCTTTAAAGCCCTAAATGGCCTCGGCCCTGTATACCTGAAGGAGTGTCTCCACCCCCATCATTCAGCCTGGACACTGGGATCCAGCGTCGAGGGCCTTCTGGCGGTTCCCTCATTGCGAGAAGTGAGGTGACAGGGAACCAGACCGAGGGCCTTCTTGGTAGTGGCACCCACCCTGTGGAACACCCTCCCTTCAGATGTGAAGGAAATAAGCAGCTATCCTATCTTTAAAAGACATCTGAAGGCAGCCCTGTTCAGGGAGGTTTTTAATATTTAACGCTGTACTGTTTTTAACACTTGATTGGGAGCCGCCCAGAGTGGCTGGGGAAACTCAGCCAGATGGGCGGGGTAAAATAAATTATTATTATTATCATCATCATCATCATCATCATCAACTTAATTTTGGGTGCTGCCTGTCGTATGAAAACCAGATGCGCAAGATGTATTAGCTGTAGTACAATCTGAGCAATGCTTTCAAATGCCACAGCACAGGAATGTCTTTCGGTGGCTGGGGCGCCTTTGATCTAGTCCTTTCTATTTCTTTTGATAAGTCCTTCACAGAAGCAGATCTGCATTTAAATCAGTCTAAGTGTCCATTGCCTTTGAATACTGCTATTCTGTCGCACAACACCAAAACATCTGTGAAACAAAAGAGACTCTAATCAAAAGGAAGCTATAAGGCACTATTCTTGTACTACAGTATTGATTCTTTATGCACATCCCTATTAAATTCTTTCAGATTTGAAGCATGAGATCAACAAGATCTTAAAATATATTTATGAACTTTAGCTCTTTGGGGACTATGGAACCAAGGACAAACAGGTCCTTTGACTAGAGTTATTCTTATGTTATACATGAACATCTATGGATTATCTTCTTTTTACAAGCCAAAACAGGTTATTCGTATTTGATATATTGCTGACTCTTAGTGCAATTTCCAAATCACTTGTTCTGGGTTTGAATTAGGATTTCTGAAGATTGTGGGTGAAGTTATTTTAAAAATCTAGAGGATCTATTTGTTTTATATGCTATTTATTGCGGAAGAGGCCTTTAATGGATTTGCAATTGATAAATTAATTGAATAGAGACAAAGGAATTTCTATCATAAGCTGTTCTAGTCATACATACATGAAAGGCATGGTTTACTTCTTCCACCCCCCACAATTTAATTTGAACTGACGTGGCAGGGGAGAGGAGCAACAGGAATCTCTTGAAAAAACTTTTTCTAAAAAAAGTTAGTGATATGGATTAATCTGTGGAAACTGAGCTGATATTAAAACAGAATGCCTTTTAGGATTTGCTGAGTTCTGGGCTTAATTTCAGACAGGTAACATAAGAACTGTAAGAAGCAGGGGTGTTGAAGTTGCCCATCAAAAGTTGACAACTGGACAGCTGACTGAGCAGGTGCACAAGTCTCACCTGGTCTTCCCAAATATGGTGCTCGTATTTAAATTCATCATTAATTCTAAATGCATATATATCAGGCACAGCCAAAATGGTTCCTGCCATAAGCTATTAAGACTACAGCTCCCATCATTCCTGACCCCAAGACATACTGACTTGGACTGAGTTGAAGTCAGGTTACAGATGCATTTTATATGCAGATCTCTGTCCTCTTTACTGGTGATGCAACAGCTGCCAGACAGGTGTCAAGGTACTTACCCTTGTTGTTTTCACTTTATTGCCGGAAGAACAACTCCATCCTTTCCGATCTGGAAGAACTTTGCATTCTTCCCCTTCAAGACATGGCTGCATGTGGCACCACCATTTTTGTTCCACTATTGAAGCTAGAGAAGAAGAAGAAGAAGAAGAAGAAGAAGAAGAAGAAGAAGAAGAAGAAGAAGAAGAAAGGCATGCTGTTGTTTTTTATATATTGGTGCTATTTTTAACTTATTCCATGGAAATATTGTCAAGGCAATATTAGCAAAGTCATAAATGTCAACTATGATCTGCATTGTTTTAACAATAAATAAATATCTGCATAACGAAATCAAAATGAAAATTGCATATATGTGAATTTCAACAGCAATCAGAATGACATTAACCAAAAACGGGGCAGAAAACTGACCCAGAATTATGAAATGTTTGGCTTATTTTCAACATGTCTCTCTTTGGAATGGCTTAAAAGCCTCTCACATCTATTTAAATGTCTTTCAGAATTCGCATTTCTCCAGTTTCATTGAGCTGCTCTCATGTTAAAAGATTCATTATATTCTATGTTTTCGGCCTATATTTCTTAACACTTGAACATTCAGGTCTAATGTGTCTGGAATAAATGTATTCTCAAAAGATGATATAGTTACTGTTTCTGTGATAGCTGACATCGCAGCACCACGAAAACACAAGCTTTTTGCAGAGCAGGCAAAGGAACATGGACCATCTAAAAATCTCTCTACTGAATGTAAAGAAAGCATTTATTTATTTGTGCTGCTCTCATGTTAAAATGACTTCCTTAAAAAAAAGAGAGAGAGCTGGCATCACTCTTTGCCTTGATTTTTCTTCTTTGTGGCAAAAATAATATAAAGGAAATGTGAAACAGCAGCTCATGGAGCAAATACGCTGATGTAGCTTTAGCAGCAGATATTAAAATGAGCGAACTTGATACAGCCGTATGGGCGCTCAGAGTTTTACATCAAGTTGTGTTTCCCTAGAGGTTTCATTTCACAGCCAGGCTTGGTAATTCACTTTCAAATCTCCAGCTATCGTTCACCTTGGGTATATATATATATATACCTCCAAAGAACTCTCAATATCCTCCTTATCACTATAAATATTGGCAGGATTAAATGAAAGGCAATCGCTTAAAGAACTCGGCAGAGCATGACTCGAGAGGGAAGAACAAACCACAGAATGTGCCGCACCATCAACGCAAGAAGGAGCTGCTCGTGTGGTACCTGCTACCTGCCCGGGGAAGCAGGAGCACTTGACGGTCTGCGATCTTTCTTCTATCTTGTTCTTATTACAACATCGGTGGAGAGCCACCACTTCACAAGTTCCAGTTTTAACATGGTGAGCTGTGGAAACAAGAGGTTGACATTCATTTATTTATTTTGCACAATTTCTTTAAAAGCAGAAACGCATCAACATAAGAGGCCGCCTGCACTGTAGGTGTCGTCGGAAAGGTCTTCTGTGCTAAGGGAAGGGCTTATCTTGCTTCCTAGGCTGAGATATCTTATAATTCCTTATTGCTCAGAACACAACAGCTATTTTGGGACAGGAACATTCTATGTTTGGCCTCGAGTGGCTGGCTGCAGGCAGAGAAGACAATATGATCAGAAGAACAGCGTTCAGAGAATAGTGTTACCTGCAGAAGGAAGTTGGCAGTATGGAGTGCTCCTGCTTAGGGTTCTAGACAGCCAGCCATGCCCTTTTCCAAGCAACTCCATTCCAACCCCCCAAAAGACACTCAGCATTCTGTGTCCATTTGTCAGTCTTCATTAGATTGGTGTGTGTGTGTGTGTGTGTGTGTGTGTGTGGTGGGTAGGGTGTTCCCTCAGGGCAGAGCTTTCCAAAACTGTGTGTGGCAACATGTTAGTATGCCAGCTGCAGTGTGTAGGTGTGTCGCGTGAACACTCCTCGCATTCCTCCTAGGGGTACAAGGGGTTAATTTAACCTCCGGTTTGCTAGTAAAACTGAATTACTGTGTCACAAAATGATGCATGTCCAAAAAGTATGTCACCAACTTGAAAAGCTCTGCCTTAGGGTTTCCCCCCACCTTACAGATTTCTTGTACTTTGTAAAATTTGGGGTTCCCCCAGGCATACTGATACCATCTTATTATTGGTGGCCCCATCTTAGCTGAAAATTTCAGCTCTAATTCAGATGAATGTACTGCAAACATATTTCCTGATAGTGTAAGAACTGGAGTCATTTCAAAAAGTACCACAGAAAACATTTCATTCTGGAAAATGTCGGCACATGTGTTTTTCAAAGGGGGGAGGGGATAAGTGTGTCAGCCTGTAAAGAAACATTTAATTTCTTAAAATATAATTTAAAATATAACCCAGCTTTCCAAATGCATTTTGCTCAAGGCAACTAACAATACACAAAATAACATATAACGGACAACAAAAAGGATGAGATTAAAAACAGCAGGCCGCAAAAACTAAAAGCTGTAAACCAAAACAGAATAAAGGCAGTGAGAAGTCAACCAAGCAGCCGCAAAGCTTTCTGAAACAGAAAGTTCATCATCATCATCATCAGGTACAAGGAACGGTTCGAAAACCAAGGTGCGGAAGCAGCGCCAGATGTTCGGCTTCCAAAGAACGTTCTTAAACCAGATCACTCACTTCCGGGTTTGTGAAGTTTGGGAACCGATTTGTTCGACAACTAAGCCGTTTGACTACCAAGGTACCACTGTAATAAGACAGGCCTCTCTGGGCAGAGTCTAATCACACTACCCAAGAAGGCTCTCTGGTGCAGTCCCAACAATCCTGTTACTTTTACATGTTTACCATCTTTCATGTGAAAATTTATCATCTGTGTGTCTGCCTTACTCAACTGACCACGTATTTTGGGAAATGAGAGGGGAGGCATTGCAAATTCTTCACATGCCAATAAGCTTCTTGCTGGAGAGATGTAAAACCTCTGTTTGCTATCCATCGATTAAAAAAAAAAAAGGTTTTCTCCCAATAACAGTTTTGAAATATTTTGTTGCAGATGATGCTTTGCTAGGCCAAGTATTATTTTGTTCTGTATTAGACTTATGGGATGCACGCTCAATATGATGAACAATGCCGAGAGTGGAAAATCAAACATATTCAGACAGTATCAATATTGTCTCTAGTTCAAGGTGAATGTTAATGACACAGAATACCATGATATACCAATTGAAAGGAATTGGTAGCTTACAGGAAAAAGCTTCCAGTTCAGGGACCCAGTATTTCTGCAAAACAAACAAACTAACAGATGCTAACTTCTCTTTTAAACAATATAAGGAAGCAGCAGGACAGCCAGTTTCTTGGGAAGTGTGATGGATGCAGAATATTCAGGATGGAATATCATTATGGAAGGACCTGAAAACAACATTATTTCTTCAAACAGACTGGCAGAGTTTAGGACTTGGCCCCTAAGTGCTTAGAAAGACTTGGACAGCCTCAGAACTTGAATTTGGTCCAGCTAACAACATTTCTAAAATAGAATATACTAACATTTTGTTTCCGCAACACGGACTTGACATATAATGTCTTGTCAGTTACATTTTGATTAACATGCTCATGATAAATTAACTTTACTGAGTAATCAAGACCTGAAAGTAGAGGCACAGTCCTTTTTGTGGAAGACATGGGTTGATGGTGGGATTTATACATTAGATCAGTTAATAGGATCAGATGGAGAATTTTTGCCATTTGCAGTTTTGCAGTTTAGGTACCACTTATCCACTACTGCTGAATGCTAGCATCTTCAACTAGAGCAGTTTTAGAGTCTATTTTGGGACTGTTAGCTTTGAGTGCCTCAGCATCTCCTGTGCTGCTGGAGGAAATAAATGGATATTTGCAGAAAACTAAACCCATTAATAGCTGTTTATAAATGTTTATTGGAATGCTGTAAATTGAATGTTCAGGAACTTAGAGGTGAATGGAAACAGAGAGTTAGAGTGTTCCATTAATCTCCATCAATGGAAAGTTCCTTTAGCATCCATATGTAGGGTTTCTTTAAATTTAAAAATGAGATTGATCCAACAAAAGTGGATGTTTAGAGTATACTATACTTCATGGCACCTCAACAAGAAGGTATTGTTTGATTCACAAAGTTGTTGGTAATGTAATGTTGAAAATGCCTATTCCAGAACATATGAAGAGCCTGCTGGATCAGGCCAATGACCCATCTAGTCCAGCATCCTGTTCTCTCACACACCCCAGCCAAAGTAGGCACATGCCTGATAGTAATTCTCTACTGTCAAATGCACACACCTAACAACAGCCTTAAGGTGCCCCAGATACACACAAACCCTTGCATGGATGTCCATGCACTCTTAAACTATATACCTGTGGTGGGGACAAACAGATGGACAACTTAAGTGGATCCTGAGAGCCTTTATGTGTCAGGATACTGTCAGCGGCTCCCGGCTGGTTGCCCAGGAAAGTATAAAGACAAGGGAAGGTTTCTTACTGTCCTTTTTTTATTCAGTGTTTACAGAGAGAGACTACAGAACCCAGCCTCTTGGGTAATGGCGTTGTCCTAAGTGAATTTCACCCCCCTTCTCTCCCACTTCCTTATTCCTCATTCTCATCATCTCCTCTATGGGTGCTGCTACATGCCCTCTGTCTTTGAGCTCTTTGCTCTCCTACTTTCAAGGCTCACCAGGTTCTGGGGGTGGGGTCTGGAAAGCTTTCCAATGACACCGTGTCTATTAGCTGTCGCCTCGCTTCCTCCTCCTCTCCTATTATTTCCCAACTTTCCCCCTCATTCGCCTATGAGCTGTGAGCTCCTGCAAACCACTGTTGTGAATCTATACTGTCTTCCTCTTGCTCCTCCCTGAAAGGGTCAGGTTGTGGAGGTAGTCTCCACCATTCCTGCTCTGCCCAGTCCCTGACATTATGGTGGCAAAAAGATTTATATTGCAAGGCTGTAAGGATAAATATCCACCACCCATTACTCAGTGGTCAGATGATCTCATTGCCCTTTCTTCATTTGAACAGACTGGTTATAATTATCACTTTTGTCTAGACACCAATTTGGACTATTCATTTAAAACAGGATGGATGGAATATTCTTATTGATAATGTCAGCCTGCCATTGATTGTTGTTTAAATGATGACGACGGTGATGACGACGACGACGACGACAAGTTTTTCTTCTCCCGCACCACTCTGCCTCATTACACTTGCTAATAAAAAACTGAAGGACAACCCCCATACACAACATGGGCTTTCAAATGAACTTTGTTGGCCATGAACTGAGCTGCGGATGGATGGAGTGCTTTGGAGCTTTCAATGGATTGGCATTTGCCACAAAATGGCAACCCTGTTGTATAAGCTGTGTGGTTAATAATTACCACAAAAACTGTGCTGCAGAAAACTCGGGCAAATTGTAACTCTTATTCTTCTGGAAGGCAGAATTACAATAAGGTAGAACGAAACTTAACTCTTGAGACTGGAAGGAATAGCCACGGATATTGGCCTTCATATTTCAGTTACTAACAAGCAGGTCTCCTAAATCTCAGCCTTGTTTTACACGTAGATCATGCAGTGCTTTCTATTGCTATGGCTGGTCATTAATTTATCATTTTAGAAAACTGTGTGATGACCACAAGTTGCTGGCTTTTGGGGAGAGGCTGTGAATCAGAGAAAGATCGATAGCTCAATAGACAGAACATGATTGGTAGAGCAAAGGTTCTATGTTCATTTCCCCACATCTCCACTTAAAAGGATTATAGGCTGTGGGGCTGGAAACACCTCTATCTCAGCCTTACAGAGCAACTGCCTGTCAAAGTACTGGAGTAGACAGACTAACAGTATAAAGAAACTTCATGTATTCTATTCTTATAGTACAATTCTATATTCAGATGCTTATTCCCTGGTAAGCATGTAAACCTTAGTGAGCTTTGGCCCTACTTCCCCTTCTCTCTGAAATTCTTATTTACATTCTGGGTTGTCTCACTGATTCTTAAGACTTTGTTTGCTTCCACACAATTCTATTTAATAGTTTTTACACAGCACCACTGGCTCCCTAGAGATGCCACATTCCACCTTCTAAGCAGAAATCAAGCACCACCTATATGCACCAACGGGCACCTGAAATGCAAGCTATTTAATATATTTAGTTTGTTGTAAAACACTTTGAAAACAAATTAGTGCTGAAACAAAAACTTTAAAGGCTGCAGATTTCTCATTCTTTAGCCATTAGTGAGAATGAATGGGACGTCTTTAGGTTTTCATGCCAACGTAATCAAATTAAACAGAATGGTCAATTAAATTTATGAATGCATTTCAAAGGATGATGGTGCGGAAGTGCATTTCAATAGATTAGATTAGATCAGTGAATAATCTAAACAACAGATTAGACCAGTGAA